TGTTCACCAATAATTATCATTGTTCTCCCATTTCGCTTTCTGCTGATCTCTTCTGTTGTAGTAGAAATACAGTATTGTTCACAGAGCCCATCTTGTATGTTATCGTCCCTTATGTTCACTGAGCTTTATTGTTCACAGATTCCGCTTACTGCTGTACCTGCCGGTGTCGATCGAGCGCAACAAGACAGAAGATGACGTCATCATCGACCACGCGCGTGCCAAAAGCCTGTTTGGGATTGGCCAGTTTTGCGGGGGGCTCTGGCGCCAGCTGCGTAAACTCCTCAAGCATCACAGAAAAATAATCAGGTAGGCGTATATCCTACAAAACAATGTTCGAACTAAGTTCTTCAACTTGTACAAAGATAACCAATTATGATCAGTGAATAAACCACCAACAGCTCCTGCTTATTACCATTCGCCCTTCAGATTTTTTGTCTAATTATTCTCTTTGTTGTGAAGTAAACTGATCCATTTAATATTGTCTATTAATACTCAATCCACTTAGTGAATAGCAGCATTCCCCGATGAACGAATATTTCGTGAAGCTTTACCATGTTTTTGTCCCAAAGTCAAGTTTTGAAGACTGAATGTGAGTTTTGAAGCAGATTTGACTGTGCAGGAATCTTCAACATCTTGAAAAACGTGGAGACCCTGGGTGGGAATCGCTGCTGAGTCGCCAGCCGCACCTGTTGTAGCTGTATACGCCACGCGGGACGTTAACCTCGCCCGCGAGCTCGCAGACCACGACCACGGCAGCCTTGTTGTTGACGCCTCGGTCACGCCAGGAAGCCCCCCTTGCGCAGCCCCCATCACACAAAGCTGTGTGACGACGGATGTTATGCCTTTCCGAGTGAATGTTGTCCAGGCGAGAGGGCTATATTTGTGAGAGTGGTGATACCATGGGGAAGATGTAGTGAAGATTAGATATATCAAGTGGGCGGATGAAGACGTGAGAGACAGAGTGATTGAGTTGGTGAGAGAGATGTTAGAGAAGAGACCGGATGCATGGGATGAATCTTTGAAAGTGAGGGGAGTTGGATGCTTGCGAGGGTGATAGCAAAGAGAGTGGCGTGGTGGGCTGAGTATTTGGGGTTATTGGATGAGGAACAGGCAGGGTTTCGAAAGGGAAGGTCGACAGCGGATGTGGTTAAAAGGATGGTTTGTATGCAAGAGGATGTGGTCAACTTGAAGAGAAAAATGGAACTGAATGTTGATGAGGGTATGAATGAAGAGGAGTGGCCTGTTGCGAGACTGTTGGATTTGAAAAAGCGTATCCGAGAGTTAATGAACCGGGTTTGTGGAAGTTGCTTGAGAGCTATGGAATGAAAGGGAAATGCTCGTATACGGTTGTGGATTCGCATGAGTTGTCTGCTTACAAGGTGAGAGGGAAGGAGTGAAAGCTGGGTGCCTGCGAGAGGGATGCCCCACGTCACCCATCTTGTTTATTGTACCATAAGGTTGGTAATGAGGCAAGCGGAGGCGGCGAGGAGTGGGGGTGAGGAAGTTGGGGAGTGGGGTGACAGGTCGTTCGTTTGCAGGTGAAAGTACATGGGAGAGGGGGAGTCGTGAGTGTGAGAGTGAAAGTGTCCTTGGCTCTGTTCGCGGATGATACTACGATTGTGGGATTGTGGGTGGGAAGAGTGAGATTGATGACGGTGTGAGGGCAGTGAAAGAATTGATGAATCAGTGGAAAAACGAAACAATGAAGAGCAAGAGGAGGTGCTGGAGTTTGAGACGGAAGATGGGGGGGGGTGAAATTAGAGTAAATGGGAGCTGGGTGAGTTCGGAAGTGGATGTGAATAACAGGATCAAGAGCTGGAAATTTGTGATGGAGAGTGAATGGGTGCTGAAAGGGTCAAGAATGTCTAAGAAGTGTCAAGCGAGGGTGGTGGAGGCATGTGGGGAGAGTAGTCTGCTGTATGATTGTCAGGCGAGAGTGTGGTATGTAAAGGATATGAATCGGTTGCATAAGTGGATGGATAAGTGTTATAGATACGTGTGGAGTGACCGGAATAGCCAGCCTGTGAGGCAAATGCAAGGGAGAGGGATGAACATGTGGCATGTTAGGAAAATTGGGCGTATAGAGTGTGATACGGAAGATTGAGAAGCGTTTTTAGGAGCGAGAGGAACATGCTATGAGAATGGGCTATGACAGGCTTACGAAAGCGATAGTGCTAAGAGGTTGGAAGGTTTCGGGAAGATGAAAGGGCCTAAGAGGAAGACTGTTTTGTATTCGAAGCGGATGTTGAAAGGAGCGGGAGTGGATTGAACGGATGTTGAGTGCCTGACCAGAGATAGGGAGGGATGGAAGGGCATGGTGAAAGAACGCATGGAACATCTGTATGAGTGGGAATGTCAGAAAGGGCATGAGTACGCTTGGAATGCGAATGTGGCATGACTGGAAAGGAATGCTAGAGGAAGGAACGACTGGGTATGTAGGTATGAGAGATGTGGGAAGGTCTGCCGAAGTAAGGCGAGCCTGACCAACCACCAGAAGCGTATGCATAGAGTAGCGGCTGAGGAGCGAGTGAGGTTTGTATGTAGCATATATGGAATGAGTGATGAGACGGAGAGTGCAAGAGTAAATCATGAGAGGACGTGTACGGGGGGAGCGAGTGGAGTGGGAGACAGGAGGCAGTGTGGGAGGTACAATACTCTTGTTTCTGTATCACTATTCATCGTCCACCAGTGCCTTCGTTTTCAATAAAGTGTCAGAAATCCAAATACACTTCCATGTCCGGTCAACTTTTGGCATTCACGGTATCATTAAGTACAGCAGCCAGCATTCGAGAATACTGTTAAAAGTTAACGAGTTAGATGATATATAGAATTAAGGTATTTCGGAGATATCAGCAATGGTGCTCCGATGACCCTTCATCCTTGTTCATGGAGTCTGTGAGAGACTCATTTTTATACCAGCACATTACAAAGCCAACCCATTTTAGAGGTAATCAGACTCCAAATACTCTAGACCTAGTGTTTACTAGTGAAGAATCAATGGTAGATGAGCTTCGTCACGATGCTCCGTTGGGCAAAAGTCACCATGAGTCATTGTTTTTCAGTATTAAGTGCTATACAGAAAAGACGCCTCAGAAAAGTTCTGTTTTTAGGCGTCGACGAAACAACGGCAGCAAAGAAGCAGATGTCACCGATGCTGGCAGACCATTCCATGTTCTGGCCGCAGCGACCGGGAACGCTCTGTGTCAGACTATTTATTTTAGAACAGACTATTTATGTAGCGGCGGTGTCAAAACGACTCAGTTCAAGCTCGTCAATCTTCACCGCTGAGCTCGTCGGTGTCAGCTGCGCCCTTAGCCTCATTAGGTTGCGTCTGTTGCTGGTGTTTAATTGAAATGAATTTTCGCTGGGAATTCTGTTAAATACGTGTTAGAAAATGGCGTTTTAAATGCACTTTAAGTAGAATGCAAGTAAATAATACAATCGAAAGCACTGTAGTACAATGTGGTTAGGAAAGCACTTAAATTTAAAGTAGTATTCAGGTGAAGAAATTCTCTCAAACACAAATAAGTAATAAAATGCAGTAACTGTAATGCTGTATAGTCACCATGTCGCACGTTCTTTACCTGCACTGCAATCCATTCAATCACATGGAGATGAATCCGGTCTTTATATCATGGGATTGCTATCACTGGATTGCTTAAATCGCAAGTTAACTACAAATTTAAAAGCAAAAAATTCACAGAAATTCATATAGAAAATTTTTTCTATAAAGAAATTAATTTATGTGGAATTTACTTTGCTTTTAAATTTATACCATGGGTTATTTCAACGCGCTTACGTCGATAATTGAACAAATAGTTGGGAGTTTTTCATGTAATTTATTATGAATTTTGTGAATTATGGATCCTCTACTGGATGTGTTGCAGGTGCGAAATTCTTCCTATAATTCTTCATTGTCTTATATTGTATTTTGAGTAAATACAATTTTTTCTTTTGGTTTGCTTCTTCTGACTTGTGGTCACCGGAGAGTTGCGATGTCGTTTTAATCCTAACTATTTGTTCAAAAACTTCCGCGACCGTCGTAAGTTAGACGAGTATCGCACAATACGACCAATGGTTCTCACCCTGCGTGGCAGCATTGCTATTTATAACTGCATGGTATATATACCTGATGTATAACCCATCTTCACATCTTATACCTACCACACTCCCGTCAGAAAATCTAAAAATATATACGGACGAGCCAAATCTGGATGGACCATACTCGAATATTTGTATAGTTGGAGACTTTTACCTGCCACGTATTAAATAGTATCTTCAGTGTTGAGGGAGATGGAGTCTTCCGACCTAGGAAAAGGTCTGGCAACGATGAGCTACCTACCGTCAATGCTCCTAGCTTCGCCACCTCACTTATGTCATCGGCCTTCAACTGATACTATCTATTCCGTTGAAAAAAACCAAGCTCCAACTCCAGCGTGATTTGAAAATCTTTTTAATTACTAGGTGGCAACGGAACCTTACAAATCTTAATTTTGACCAGTATTACATGGTTTTTATTGACAAGCGGCGAGTCAAGCGCAGTAGCTGCCGAGTAGCGACTTCCGTGGCATTGACGGTACAACTTAAACCTGCGCTGAGTGCAACATACACCTGTTCAACAGGAAAAACAATATCCTCGACATCTTTTCTATTATACCTCACGTTTTTCAGCAATAAATGAGATGGTGCGTGAAGTCGCATTTAGCTACGGTTGTCAATAGAGTACGTGATATGATATCGCAGTCGCTTAATGGTAAAAAAATACATTTAATTCTCCTACTGACAACGGAAGTTATAAAAAAGTATTTCACTACAATTTGGATAGAAAATGATCAACAAGGACTAATCTGGCAAGGAATTTTATTTTTGTTCAAAGACAAAAATGTATAAAATATGAAACCATCGGTTCAACTTAAGAATGTTTCACTTAAGACAAGAGCAACTCACCCCAACGTCGAAGTGATACAAGATATACATAAACATCAATTTATCATTGAGACCTTGCGCGCTTTGCAATGTATCTGCTTCAAATCAGGCCTAGCACGCGAATGAAAGCATTCCTTGCAACAATCATAAACTCATTTAATAGCAATGAATAATTGAGGAAGTGGAAGACAAGTACAGCAGAGGCCAGGTGTCCACGCTGACATGAAGGCAGCGTCACCAACACTGTGATTGTCTACATCACAGAATAGTCAAGAAAATTAACAGAGAACTGAGCGAGATTCCACAAGCAGTGTCACTGAAATCAGCTTTTTGTACGAGATTCCAAGTCCGGAATGAGATCACTTCATTAAATGGCCCATTTATTTTCATCTTTCATGTTAATGATTAATCATAGAATGGCCAATCGCTACTGGTAGCTCTATCCACTTGATTAAGTGGCCAATATTCAGTACTTGCGCAAGTGGTAGCAATAGTAAATAGGTTTACAAGCGCTTCAAGATAGTTGCATAAAGCCACCAACCACTCAATACTAATACTAGAACACAATTACGGAAGCTGAACACAAATAGCTCACGAAACGTGATGAACTAAGGCACTGCGGTGCAACTAAAGAAGAGGTCAAAGGAGCTGCGTAAGTCAGAAGTCTGCATCAAGGGTGAACGTTCTGTCCTGATCAGAAGTCAGCATCAAGGGTGAAGGTTCTGTCCAGATCAGAAGTCAGCATCAAGGGTGAAGGTTCTGTCCAGATCAGAAGTCTGCGTCTAGGGTGAAGGTTCTGTCCGGATCAGAAAGATCAGAAGTCAGCATTGAGGGTGAAGGTTCTGTCCAGATCAGAAGTCAGGGTCTGGGTTGAAGGTTCTGTCCAAGTCAGAAGTCAGCATCGAGGGTGAAGGTTCAGTCCAGATCAGAAGTCAGCGTCGAGGGTGACGGTTCTGTCCAGATCAGAAGTCAGTGTCGAGGGTGAAGGTTCTGTCCAGCTCAGAAGTCAGCATCGAGGGTGAAGATTCTGTTCAGATTAGAAGTCTGCGTCGAGGGTGAAGGTTCTGTCCTGACCAAAAGTCTGCATCAAGGGGTGAAGGTTCTGTCCTGATCAGAAGTCAGCATTGAGGTAGAAGGTTCTGTCCAGATCAGAAGTCAGCGTTGAGGGAGAAGGTTCTGTCCAGATCAGAAGTCAGCGTTGAGGGAGAAGGTTCTGTCCAGATCAGAAGTCAGCGTTGAGGGAGAAGGTTCTGTCCAGCTCAGAAGTCAGCATCGAGGGTGAAGGTTCTGTCCAGATCAGAAGTCAGCATCGAGGGTGAAGATTCTGTCCAGATTAGAAGTCAGCGTCGAGGGTGAAAGTTCTGTCCTGAGGGGAGCTCATGACGCCACACTTCTGGTACTCCCCCACCCTGCGCTCGAAGAAGTTTGTCTTGCCAGGCATGGAGATCATCTCCATGAAGTCAAACGGATTTTCCACCCTGTAGATCTTCTCACACTTCAGCTCTGAAAATCATAAAGCATTAGTTATGAGTTAACATTCACCATTCATAACATAACATTCACCATAGTAAACGGTCAATTTTGCAAAGAATTAGAGTACGGTATTCAACGTGGCAGGCTTGAAGGGAGTGAAGCGTATTCTTTCAGTAGTATTTGTTAAGTGAACATGTTTTTATTAAAAAACTACTCAGCAATAAGTTACTTTAGAATAGGAAACTTATGCTGAATGTAATGAAGTTATGTAAAATATTAGGATTAAATTCTGGCGTTTCGAGGCAAAGAAGCTGCTAAAACGGAACGAATTCTTGCAAAGTAGAGGGCAAAAATATTCTCTAGGTATACTATATAAAATATATAAATATCCTATAGGTATATACTTGATAAGTATTGTTACTACCAAAGTCCGCCTTATGCTGTAAGCAATTTGCCCTTTAATCTTTACGCATTTTTCAAGTCTGATGCAACACACCAAGTGAAGGCTGAGAATTCAAATTAGTTGCAGAGGATTTCCCTTGATATCAACGCAGATTTAAAGTCGGTTACTTTGAACCAACGCAGTAGTGAATCAGGGGAAGATGAACCAGCACAAAAAGAAGGATAACTCTACTTGCTTTGATCTTTAAGTTTTGAACCTTTTCATCTCATAAAATTAGTTAGCTTGACGTTTTCGGCTACAACTTTATGACCACCGTATTTATTTTCATCACAAACCATGAGATGGTTGCCACCAAATTGAGAAAAGTGTAAGTTAAATTGATATTGTAATCCCTTTGTATGATGATAATAATAATAATAACCCACCAACAAGCAGATGGTCTGCCACAAACTCTATGTATTGCTTCATGAGGTCACAGTTCATGCCAATGAGGGCACAGGGCAGCGCCTCCGTCAGGAACTCCTGCTCAATGGCCACGGCCTCCCGGATGATGCTCACCACCCTGCAACACAGGGCATGTCAAGAGCGGGATCCATAAAGTATTTAACTGCTTTTACTTAATAGAGAAGAAGTCTATTTTAACTACATCATATGCTAGCACATCATATTACATGTATAAATAAAACAAATAACCATCACGGATGACGGTGAAGGACTAAGACAACAATTTTTGAAATTTCCTCACACTGAAGGGCTCCCTGACCATTAGAATATGCATTATCCTGACAAGTTTGGGTTCCCACCTCTGCTTTTTGGGTTGGGGTGTTGTCGGGTGGGGTCATTCCTGATGCCTGGCGCCGAGGTGTGGTACTCCAGTTCTGAGAGGCTTGGGCTGGAAACTCGGCAGGGACCTGGGGGTCAGCAGTCACTCCCTCCGAAGTTCTTTGGCCTGTCCATGTGGGACTTTTTGCTGACCGAACAACCTGTAAAGCATCACGGTAAGATAGTTTCCCAGAAGCTAGGACTTGCTCCACTTATTTTGGCAAATTAACATACATCCAATAGGCAAATTAACATACATCCACCATAACTGGATGTATGCACTCCACCACAATTTGCACACTTGGGTGATGAGGTGCTTTTGTTTGGGCAATTGGACACAGTACCTGAGCACACTACACAACGCACCTTGAATCTACAATGGCTGCATTATGGCAAAAACGTTGATACTTGTAACATTGCCAAGGCTCATCTACATATAATCTAACCTTAAACCGTTGATAGGCTACTATTACATATTCTGGGAGTTCCTGGCCAGAAAAGGCTATTTTTGCTGTAACTATTAACCTATGGAAATCTTTAGATAAGGTTTGAAAAAAGTAAAATACCGTACAAGGGAACATATGCAAGCAAATGAAATCACATAATTAGCTGATCAACATTAATAAAATTAAAATAATAACAAGGACAAAATTGAACCTAAATTATCAATGAATAAATGAAATAAATTCCTAAGCCACTCACCAGTGCAACTGAGTGCCCAGGCTGAGTAGAAATACTTCACGGAAGATTAGTATTTTTTATCTGAAAATTGTATTTTAGTCACCTACACTGAAAAAAAAAATAAAAATATTGAATATAATTTAAATTGAGTTGGATTGAGCACTGAATAAATATGTAAATTAATAAAGACATGAAGGTTGGGCTACACAGTAGCCTAATTTAACCTCCAGGAACAACATGGGGTAAGGAAAAACAATAAGAAATTTGTTAATAAAAGGCATTCTCTGCTCTTCAATCAAACCTCAACCTATGTGTACATGTCAATTAATGGCCAGAGAATGCATTACTATTTTCATGGACTAAAAACTATGATATTGAGTATTACAAACAAGCAACTTCATCTCAAGATCATTGATGATTTCAACAAGCTTGGTGACACCCTTGACAGCAAAGTAAACTCCAGGCTATACACAACACTGGTCCCTGCAAACAAGTGAAAGTTCTCCAAGAGGCCAGCATAGTCTATAAATTTTGCTTCTAACAAGTTGTAGACTTCATCATTTGGAATACATTGGAGTAATTAGATTAACAATAACATCAAGACCGTCTCATTCGCCATCTCAGGTCTAGAGGGCAGAGGAACCTGTTGAGACAAATTGTGCTGGAGAAACCCACCAACATTATCATCATGCAGAGGTGTAACCAACATATGATTGCTGGAATGCTTGTCATTTTGGATTTGACCCAGCTATCTATTTCCAACCTACTGGACTTGTCTAAACATAGATTATTGTTTGTTGAGGGACTTTCTGGCTCAAAATTTTTGTGTTGTATCCTATTTATGTGTTTTGTGAACTTATGTCCAACAAAATTTCATCAAACAATGCTCCTCCTATCCTGAAAATAAATGCTACGGTACACTCTGCATGCTTTAAACATTTTAAAATCAAGTTTTATGGCAAGTGTCCCAGATTACCCCATAGACAGAGGTAATTTGTGACACTTTTTTTGCTTCATGCACCATACAAATAGCATATGGAAATTTTCATAGGTGCCAATCAATAGCCCTTGCAAAGACCTTTAAAATGAGCCCAAACTCCTTTATGAAATGTTTTATGGCAAGAAGTTATCAACAACAAAAAAAATATTGTCCCTTATTATCCCGTTCGATAGTATTCATTTAAATTCTCAGGGATAACCATTTGATGGTCTGCAGAAATATTTTTTCCCCTACACACTTTCAGAATCATATATATGCTGTCATTCATTTCATATGGTTAAAAAATTTGACCAGCTGATAATGACAGCAGTTTGCCTCATGAAAAGTAAGAAAAATGCTAACAACTTTTCTCTTAATTCAGGTTGTAGAATGTGCAAATATCTTAAGAGACATATTAACATCAAAATCTTTGTCCTCAAAATGTCTTGCAGACACGTCTGTCATTAAATACCTCTTTACATATATTTTAGGCATTAGGCAAGGAATTTGGAATGTTAGCTACTGTCAAATGGGGTAAAAGAGACAATGTTGAGCATTTTTGGTTAATAACTTTTTACCATGAAATATTTCATAAACAAGCTGGGGCTCATTTTGAAGCTCTTTGCAAAGACTATCGTATGGTATCTCTGAAAAAATTTATCCCTGGGAACAGGGTAATCCAGGAAACTTGCAGCCATGTAGCATTTCTTCTGTAAATGTGAGCTTATAGGACAGCTTGTAATTTCACACCATTTTTAATAGGGTCAAGTAAATTCACATTCACTTGAACGAAAGGAATATTTTGGTGACAACCATCATATTTTTTGAGAACTAAATCATATTTGGGTTAATTACTATTCATTCTATGTTGCCAGGTGTACAATTCTATCTATGACATTCTATGCACAATTTTGTGATGACCGATGATGCATTAATTTTTAGTAAAGTACAATTTTTTTCACTTAGCAAGGTAAATGTAATCAAAATTTTTGTTGTTGATCAATTTTTTTTGTTAACTGGAGTCTTTGCTAATCAAGGTTCTAATGTAAATGCATTTTTAGGGGTGTCCCTTATTACCCTGTCTTGCGGAAATGGCCGCCATTTTTGGGGGGAATGAGATATGCCAATTCTGTTAATCACATTTTTAAGCCAACACCCGTGTGCAACTTTCATGTAGATAAAATTTTTGATGCGGCGAATATTTTTTTGCTACAGATATTAGCAGTGGTACCTTTCCAAAATCTGACTTTTCACACTTTTTTCAGCAATTTTCTAGAGGTAGTAAATGTATGATTTCTCAACTTATTACCACCACCCATCCCTTATTACCCTGTTTAATGGTATAGCATTTCCTCTGTATCTGTAAGCTTACAGTACAGCTTTTAATTTCACACCATTTTAATTGGGTCAAGTGAATTTACTATAACAATACTATATATATATAGCAGTTTCAGCGTTTATTAGGCCATAGGTCTGTCGCCAATTCTTAGCATTGCAGAACACTCACAGCTTGTTGTGGGCTTCAACTCGCAACTCGCTGCTTCAAATTTACATTGCTTAACCGCTCGGCCTCCTTGCCGATTCTGACCAGAAACTGGCGCACAGAGCTGGGATCGAACCCGCGCCTCTCTGCTCCAATCCTGGTACTCTGAACTAGAACTTTAACCACTGGGCCACATTCTATGCACAATTTATATTTTATATTTTTATAAAATTTTTATATTTTATTATATTTTTTTTATTTTTATTTATTTTATATTTTATTATATTTTTAATTTCAAAATTATATATGACATTCTATGCACAATTTTGTGACAACCAGTGAAAGCAGTGATGCATTAATTTGTCATTAAGAAAATCTTTTGCTGAGTGAGGTAAATGTACTTAAATCTTTTGCTGTAAATTAATTTTTGTGTTAACTGGAGCTTTTGCTAACCAAGATTCTACTGTAAATGCGTTTTTATGGGTCTCCCTTATTACCGGTTTACCCGGGGGGTGTCCCTATTACACCGTCTTGTGGAAATGGCAGCCATTTTGGGGGGGATGACCGGATGAGATACGCAAATTCCATCAATTACGTTTTTAAGCCAATACCTGTGTGTAACTTTTATGTAAGTAAAATTTATCATTACAGCAAATATATTTTTTGCTACAGACATAGCTGCTTAGCAGAGGTAGGCAGTAGGTACTCTTCCAATATCTCACTTTTCACACTTTTTTCAGGGATTTCTTAGAGGTAGTAAATGTATAATTTTTTAACTTGCTTTATGCTAGATAGATAGTAAAAATGTTTAACTTTACACCACTATTTTTAGTTCTGCAATATTTTGATTACTTTAGCTACTAAAACATTTCTACAAAATATGGGATGACAACCCAATTTACCCTGTCCGTCTCTTATTATCCTGTTTGACGGTATTGATTGGAAAATTCTATGATTTGGGAATTACCACACATTGGCACACAAGGTACATTCTATTTACGATTCCTCCAAATTTTTCTCTTGATTGGGATTAGAAATGAAGTTGCAGCTTGTTTAAAATGTGCAGGCACACCGCACACTTACAGTATATACTTAATACAGGCAGCACTGTATGGCAAAAGGAACCTCTAGGGGCAGCAGCAATGCCAGCAAAAGTTTGGGTTGTTGTCTAAACTTTGAAATTTCAATGTTTTCATTACACGACCAGCGTGTAAACATTTGATTTCTGCATTTGCGGTTGTGTGACAACAATTGAAACTCATTGCCACTCACCAGCTGGGGAAGACCGGAATGCATGTGCTGGTTGTGTCAATTGTCAAGGCCTCAAGACCGTCGTCAAGGGTCATTGATGTATAAAAAATGCTGTCTGTCAAAGAAGGTAGAACATCCTGTGACAACAAATCAAGAGAATCTCAGCCTCACACAAGCCAGTTTTCTGACATAATTAAGCAATTGGAGAGTCCATGCTCCATGCCCCAGGGACCAGGGCTGTACATGCAAGAGTTGAGCAGCTCTTGCATCACTATTCAGAAAGAGCTGCTTAACTTATCAGTAAAAAAACATTGTTACAGTGCTGCGTAATTTTACCGGTTGATGGCACAGGTGCATTTCTCTTCCTTTACCAATTTACTCAACTTTAATTCACTCTTACATGATTTCATCTCATCTTCAATGGTGAATGTAAGTACATTCACTATTGTCGCATAAATTGATAACTCAAAGGTTATCTCACCCCATAGTCACAAAAATGCACAATAGCTCAAACGGTTCCATCACTCAAATGTCAACTCAAGGAATAGGACAGTTTTGTCCCCTAGGGCCGACTCCGAGGTAGGAGTCAGGGCTTTGTCAGGCCGTAGCTATCTCGCTTGCACACACCCACTGATTGTACAATCACAATGAATACCAATCAAAAATAAATTTTGTTGGTATAAATAAGGTTAGATAAGGTATACTAAAGCATTTCACATTGGCTTCAACTGGGAATTGAAACAATAAACGCACGGCATCGGGCATACTAAATCTGCCGTTGATGCTAGCACACTGATACTGCCTTGCCGGTCGGCCAGGAATTCCGATTTATAAACTCGTTTTATCTAAACCCGTATGAGAAGATCTGAAACGTTTGCTATCATTTTATATAATACTAATAAATAATAGGGTTATCGGGATATTCCGATTTATTTAAATAGGGATATTACGATTTATAATGTAGATATTTGTGGAACTAATGATAAAGAAGGAATGCGGTGCAGTATACACTCCACCCAACTTATGCAGTGCTGTTGGCTTGCTTGAAATTCAGAGACACTTCTCAATGAATTAATTACTTGCTGGTTGGCTAGAAGCCTCATTTCAAATTAAACCCGTACGAAAAAATCTAAAGCGTATGCTACCATTTTATTCAATACTGTTAAATAATAGGGCTATCGGGATATTCCGGTTTATTTAAATCGGGATATTCTGATTTCTTATGTAGATATTTATGAAGGAATTCGTTCGAACAAATGATAAAGAAGGAATGCGGTGGAATATAGAGTCCACCGAACTTATGCAGCGCTGTTGGCGGCTTGGCAATTTAGAGACAATTCTCAATGAATTTAAGTGAACGAAGGGAATCCTCAGTGCTTTTTGATGTTTCCCAACATCAAAGTTAACCCAATAATATGACTATGGTTATCAAAGAAAACGGTTTTTAGATGTCGCCCTTTTCCCTCATTTATAATAAAATCGAATAAGATATACTCGATATTTGGTTATTTATGAGACACTGTTTTTGTGGAGAATACAGCGTAATCGTAAATTTATAGTGAGACGCTGAATAATAAGCCCTGAGAACAAATCCAATTTTCTCGGAAATGGTTTATTTTCTTGATTCCAAAAAAATTAGACGTCTTCCTTGAATGATTGACTATCTTTTGAAACTATCAGAGCTAAATAATTCAAAAGATGCTATATATGTAACGGCTTTTCTCAAATCTTGAAAGTAGCGCCCAAATTAACGTAATGCGATAATTTGGGATTAAATTAATTTAAACAACGCGCAGGAGTTTGGTCAGAACAATCGTTTATAGGTAGCGAATACTTATCGTGGGTGGGAAGCGAAATACTTATTTAACACTTATTCTCAAACTTATTTAAGTGGGAAGCGAAAACTTATCAAAACTTGAACTCTATGAAAAGAAACCCTTCAGTGGCCGCGTTCAGAAACTGAACGAATTGCTCATTATGTCGTTCGGGTTCATTACGGTCGATTTTTGTAGGGTTTAGCCCACTGTGCGATTAAGGGGACCGACCTGGCCCGGAGAAACTTCTACAGTTATTATCCGATCATCATGAAACTTCACATACATACTTAAAATGTAAAAAGAAAAACATTTTGCTCGTATGAATTTTTCGAAAAAATTGATAGAAAACGTGAAATTCATAGAAAACGGCTAAAAAGGGGTACTTTAGAAAATCTATCTCCTCCCACAAATATCATCCTACAACATCGAGACACGTATCATTCGATTCGTAAAG